GGAATGCTGCTTCTCCCCCAGTTTTACACATGGGAGAATAAAGAGCAGGATTTGATGAGCAGGAGCAACAAAGATACATCTGAACAATGTGCTCAAATAAATCCTGAGTAAAACTCCTAAGCAGGCTCTGCCAGATACCAGATCACAGGAGATGTGCAATAGCTTGGGTTACATTTGATGTGTTGTTTGGAACTAAAGCACCACAAGACATTTCCCTCCCTACCAGCATCTCAAATCACCCACATAATCCTTTCCTCACTAGCAACACTGCCCCAAGATTTGACTTCTGCATGTATGGTAGATTAATCAGTCTGTAGCTGAAAGACTCAACGCTGTACTGATGATTCAGCCAACCCATGCTATCATTTCCTTAACCACAAGGTTGTAAACAATTAAGAATGTTAAAAATAACAAAACTGTGAGCCCATTTACCACACTGAGCAGGACCACCTAGAACTCCAACGTTTCCCAGCATGGCTGCAAGAATACCTGAGGAAAGAAATACTCACAAAGTCTCGGTGAGTCGCTGCTGTGATGCAAGAAGCCATTTCAAAGGCATAAGTGATCAGCATCAGGATAATGTACTGTGGGAGGCAGACAGCAGAGTTAGCTCTTGGAGAAACAGTTCAGCAGTTTTTCCAGGATAAAGCCTGAATCCCTGTTCAAAGCAAAGGAGGCCGGGCTGCCCAAGTCTCCTCAGTCCTCTCCACACCCCTGAGCACCCCTGTAGCCCTTCTCTGTGTTTGTTTCTGTTTGCAGTCTGCCTTCTGAAGGTATGTGACTGGAGTTGTTCTCCATCTCTCAGAGAGGATTCCACCAGAGCCTCATGGCACTAAAACCAGCCTGCCTCTGTGGAAAATACTTTGCCTGACATGCCCTAGAATATAATTTTCCTTTTTCTTTGTTGCATTTCCTTGGCAGCTTCTGCTTGTGCCATATCTGCTCCTTCCACTGCCACTTGCCAGCTATCAGCTTTTCAGCAAGAAGCTGTTCACTCCTAGCAGGAGAGCTTGTGCTTTGGGGAAACAGAAGGTGCAATTTAGAGTGTCATTCAGATCCTCCTGATTTTGCATTATCAGGTTTTCTTAGCACTCCTGCTTCATGAGCAAAGATCTTTCATGACTACAGATCCTGAGGATCACCTCTCACAGTCTATTTCACAGTTTTTTCCCCCTCTTAGCACAATCCCTTTAGCCTTTCCCATGTTCCTTTCTGACCTCTTGTGTCTCTATTTTATAATATTCTTCTCAGATTCAAGGCATTTGATTCCTTACCCCAGGTTCTGCCCCTTCTGCTCTCTCTTATGTCCTATACCATGGTCTTGTTTTTCAGCCAAGACATCAAAATTCAGAGTTAAGGGAATTCTCTTCCTTCAGCTGTTTGCTGGCAAGTTCCCTGGCACAGGAGTTCAGCTTTCTGAGTGTCTCTAGCTTAAAAAACACCCTGCCACCCCACATTAATCCCAAAGAGAGCTGACGCCAGAGTTTTCAGCTCTACCCTTCGTTAATGCAAGCACCAGTTAAGTTTTGCCACTGTCAACCTCAAGGACTAAGAAAGAAATTGCACTGAGATTTGTCCACATCTTAACATTGTCCTTGGCTTACCAAAGCTCTGTCCCCACCCGGGTGATTTCTGCCTGCCTGCTGATGTCTGGTGTTCTCAACTGCACCCCAATTTGCTGTACTAACACATACTAATGCCTTGGACAGGAGTCATTACTTATCAGCTCCTAAACTGAATAGTATCTGACAGCTGAAAGGCAGGAAGGGGTGGGGAGAAGCAAGGCTCTAAGCCACATCCCAGCTACCTCTGATTGCACAAGTGCTTCTGCTCCGCTTCAGGGCAAAGCCAGGGGCAAAGCAGTCAACTGAAAGCTCCCTTTTGGCTGTCACCATTAACTCCCTCAAACTGGTTCAGGAGCTTCTCATGCAGGTGTCCTCACAGGCATCACCTTGTGGGTCACCACAGCCATGAGCAAGGAGAACGTTTGGTTCCTTGTCACTGATAAAAACAGGTTTTGCTCAGTGAGTAATTATCAAAGCAAGCTGGGAAACTACAGGGGCGTTTTTTCAGTTTGGTAACAATAGGTAGGGAAACTTTGCTACACTCACCACCAGCAGCAAGGTCCTGTTGCATTTAATGACTCCAATGATGCCCAGGATAGACAGAGCAACGAGGGCAAAGCCAACGAAGATGCCAATCCAGGCAGCAGCATAGATGTCATCATTCTCTGTGGCTTCCAGCAGAGGGTAGAGGCCATGGGGATCAGAGACAAAGAAGATGCACTCTGCTGTCAGGGCAATGCCACACAACTGGGAAGTGCAAGTGTGGGAAATCCATTAGATCAAGCATCCCCAAAGAAACAGCAGAGACACAAAAAGACAGAGAGAGCTTTCCTTTCCTTCAGCTTTCTGCCAAAGAGGAGCCACTCAACTCCTCCTCTGCTCAACCCTACAATCTCCTGTCTTGTGCATTCACACAAGAACTGCAGGCAAAGCTCACCCAGCCTAGACCTGCAAGGCCAAGCCTAGGATTTGAGGAGGTAAAGAAAGAATTAACAGATCCTTTTCCATCACAATACTGTGGGAGGTGGCTGGAAAGATGTTGGTCAGCATGAAGGGATCTTCCTCTAGGACTCATGTTGGTCTTGTGGGTCAGCCCCTGCTATTCCTTGTTTTGCCCTGCTCAGCCAGCTGATGAACTAGCACAGCTCTCCTTTACAACTCTCCTCACGCTTTACTGGTCTATTCATGTGTGCACTTCACATGTAAAGAGGGATTTCATGGCTAGGAACTTCTGTTTTAAGTGTCATGCTGGAAGGAAGTCACCACCCATATTTGTCCCACTTCACTTACCCCAATGACCACATTCCCAAAGACTAAGAGGCCCTGCAAGATGTGTATGCCATCTTCACTTTTTGCCATCTTTAATTCTTCATGCAACCTGAGAAAAAGCAAAGGCAGTCTTAGAATCATAGAATCCTTTAGGTTGGAAGAGACCTTTAAGATCATCAAGTCCAACCATTAAACCATTAGGGCTCTAAAGTCCTCTTCAATTAGACTGGTACAATAAGCTTCACTCAGAAACAGATGTTACCCCTGAGGAGAAGGGTAGGTCTGACTACCTCCCATCTCTTGCTTCTTAGTAGTTTCAGAGGAGGAACTTTCCCCAGGAGTGAAGCTGGTAGCTCATACTGCCCCTGCTAGCTGAGCTACAGGAGATCAGGACCTCTCTGGGGGCAGCCAGTGCCTTTGGCTGCCTTTTGGGTAGGGTTTTCATCCTCACAACAGCACCTATGCAAACCTCAGCTCGCTATGTTGCATTTCCACCTGGCTAGAAACACTGGCTACGCCTGGAAGGAGAGGGGACAGGTTTGGTGCCCTCACCTCACTCTCCTCCAGAGGAGCCATCCTTCCCCGGGCTGTGCTGCCCACCCTGCTGGCTGTTTCATTCCAGCCAGCACTGCCACAGGACCAAAGAGCAACCACAGAGCTTTAGCTGTGTCCCATACCCACGGCACCTGACTCGGCAGCACTTTGCCACGGGCAGCCCTGTCTCCCACCCATGGCAGGAGCTGGAGCTGGGCTGCTGTTGGGGAGGTATGGGGCAGAGGGGGCAGTGCAGGCTGCAGCTGGCTCACGGCAGCCAAGCACCATTCCCCCCCAATTCCTGAGCACTACATCCTGCAGGCTGCGGCCAGGTGCCCCATCTGGAATCCATCCCCTTCCAGAAAGAGTGGCACAAAGGCACGAGTCAGAGGTGGGAGACCTCTTGGAGAAAGAAGCCCAGGTGCCAATTCCAATGAAGTCCGTCCTTCAAAGGGATGGAGCGTGTTGTACGCAGGGGGAAGGGCAAGGAAAAAGCCCCAACCTTGACACGACTGCGTTTGCTGGGTTGTTCAGAAAGTATAAGTAGCAAAAGAAAGGCTGAAGTGGGCCTCACTTAGCAGAGGACATGAGGAGCAGCTTGAACCTTCCTCTTCTGCCAGAGTACCTGCACTGGGGGTTGCTGACTGAGGTTCTTCAAGGAAACTGTTGGAAAACAAAAGCAGACACAGCTGCCAATGCAGTTTCCTGAGGAACAGATCATTGTAGGACCTCCCTAACAATGCTACCTTCAGTCTCCTCAGCACCTGCCCTTTTTGGGTAGGCAAGACTTCCAGCCGTGACAGAGGGAAAACCAGAATTTCCTACCACCCTTCCTGTAGTGATGCTGGGGTTAGGCATGGAGAGGTCTCCAGTGCTCTCACCACTACACGAGCAGCACAGCACACAAGTTTTGGCACACGATAGCATGAGTGCAGATGGCCATTATTGCCAAAGGTCATTCTCCTTGTGGGCCAGGTGGCTGGAGGCCAGCCCAATACACCTGAGGCTGTACAGCTCTCTACTTGAAAACAGCAGGTTCCTGAGGTCAGCCTGGAGCTCTGTCCCTACCAAACCTTCTGCCAAACTGGCATGCACAGTTGTGCTCAGGCCACATAAAGCTGCCCTGCAGGTCAGGTCTGAGTCTGAGCAGCGTTTAGCCACACAGGGTCAGCACTCTGCACATACACCACTGCAGAGCCTGGGACAGGCACCAGTCCTCTGTCATCTGAACGCTGCAGGGACCAGTGCCTGCCTCATGGAGCTTCACACTGCGCTCCAGAGACCTTAGAGAAGCCTGGAACTATTGCTGGCTGAGAGACACCACGAGCCAGGGAGCAGCCCGGGAAGCAGGGAGAGCTCCTGTGCTGGGGGCAGACCTGAACCCTGGGCAGGGCTGCTCCAGCTGTCCTGGGCACAGCAGGGTTGTGTGTGCCCTGTGGCTGTCACCCCAGATCTCACCAGGCGTGGTTCACCCAGGCACAGCCCTTTCCTTAACACTGCAGGAACTTCTTCCTCCCTTTCTGTCCCACAGCCCCCCTGCAGTGTCACCACAGCACTCAGTCCTGCGGGAGCTGCCCAGCCAGCCCAGCTGCTTGCCCCTCCACCAGCTGGCTTTCTTCTCCTCCTCAGCAGGCAGCACTTGGCTCTCTCTTGCCTCTCCTTGGCAGGTATTGCTGCAGGCGTGCCAGCCTGAGCAAGCAAGCCTCTTCCCCTGGGACAAGCCCATCTCCTAGGCGACTGTAGCTGGGAGGAAAGCTGGACGTGGTCACCACCACACAGACACTACCTGCAGAGTGGTGAGCTTCTAGGCAACCTAAGGCTCTCCAGTTCCTCACCTAAGACCAAAGGGATTTCAGGGCAGGAGGAAGTGGAGACCAGGAACAGGAAAGGAAAAGCCTTTACTGTAGACCTAAAAATGAATGCTGTAACAATGTCATCTTCTCAGTGTGAATTTTCCCCTTGCCTCCAAGTGACCAGCACGGAGGGAGTTGTTCTCTTGGTGTTCACTTCATTCCCTTGGGATGTGTCACAACCCTTCATCTGGCCCCTTCTCTGTTGTGGAGGGCCAAGTATGAGCACCATGAATGAAATACCAGGGAGGTGCCCCAGAGCTGTGACAGCTTCTGGGCAGCTGCAGAGCTGACCTCCAGCAAGCCCGGAGGAGAAGCCACAGGAGATCTGGAGGTTCCCCCTGCTGCCTGGTCGCCGTGCCTCGGAGGTGACCCGTGCTCAGCAAGAGCAGCTGGCACAGTGCTGGGCACAGGTGCGTGGCCACAGAGCACGAGGCACATCTTGGCCAGCTTGCCCGAGGCAAGCTGCATGCAGGTATGGCTCAGAGCCACCCCGGGGTGTGAGCAGGGCAGGCAGTGCTCCTCCCAGCCCCCAGAGAGCAGGGTGCCAGCAGCTCCTGCCCACGGGCACAATTCAGCTGGGTGGCAGAGCAGCCTTCTTCCCACGCTGGTTAAGATCAGTTTTATGATCCAAATACAGCCTCCTGTCTCTTCAGGAAAACACCTGAGGAAACCAGAGCTTCAGCTGCAATCTTTACCCAAGATCTCCACTTGAGAACACGGCCAGGTCCTGGGATTTCAGCCTTGAGCTTGAATAGACCTGGTGTTCCTCAGCACATCCCGGGCACCTCACAATTGGGCTGTGCCCTGTCTAGGCCTCAGGTATTCAGTCATCACTCCTGCCAACGCTGCTCCCTGCTCCAGGTGGCTTTGGAAAGGTGTTTATGCTCCTGTTGTACCACAAAAACCTGCAGCCCTCCTGGAGCACATCTCTTTTCCTCTTCTTTACACCCTGGTCACATCCCAATCTGCAGCTTCTCCCCTGTTCTCTCTCCTCACATCCCCCAAACACTCCTGGCACTCATGGGGCTCTGGCTGAGCCTTTCAGAGCCCAGGAGCAGCTGTAGTCCTGTGTCCTCCTGTTCCTCCACAAGCTGCAGACAGGCCTGTTATTTCCATGCCCCTGGAGGTTTCTTGACCTCTTCCCCCTTCCTCTGCTCACAGTGGCTCTGTGAGACCTGTGGCACAACGGTGGGAGCAGAAAAGGAATCTCCTGTCTGCAGAAGCTGGCTTCTGCTGCTGTGTTTTAGGTGACAACCCCGTGAGGCTTCCAAAGACATCCCTGCTTGCAGCAGGTCCTGGATTCAAGCAGAATTCTGTCTCTGTTCTCTGCATCCCTCACACACCCCGGGCTGGTTGACCTTTTGAAGCCTCCACACCCTCCTCCTACAGACTGAGACAGGATTGCCATAGCCTTCCCGATGAATGCCCCCTGCCTAGCCTAGTCCTACCCCATCTCTACCCAAAAAAGCCAATGGATAAAGCCCTGGTTTGGCATTGCCCCACATGGAAGTGGGTCACATTTTGACTGCTTTGTGCCAGCTGTCACGGTGGGGTCCTGGCACGGCCACCAAGAGAAGCCCAAAGACACGCCTGCGAGCATCGTTCACTTCTACACACCACTCCTGGGGGGCTCCCCGTGTGGCAGGGGGGCTTACAGAGTCCTGGCCTCACTCCTGGCCCACGGGCTTCACCACCTCTGTGCCTGGCATCCCCTGGTGTGGGGGGGCAGAGCCCAGGGAGGCGTTTGTTCTGTTACTCACCAGCTCCCCACGCCCTGGCCCAAGGGCTCCGTGCCGCTCAAGCGCATCGGAGCAAACCCGCCCGTTCAGAGCAGGAACCTGCCCCCTGGCAGCACCCCCCCGCTGCCAGGCCTGGGCACCACACCCCTGCCCCTCGCCCAGCCTGCCTGCACGTCCTGTCCCTGGGCTGGGCAGCTGGCGGAGGGAGCCAGGGGGTGGAAGTGCTGCTGGAGGGGCCACACCAGCAGCAGTGCCCACGCTGGTGCCACGCAAGCCTCCACAAGCCACAGACCTGCCCACATCTTCATCTGCACTAGGCTCTGAGGCCTCGAGGCTTGAGGGGTCAGGCAGCCTAGGTAGGCACACATGCCTTTTTTTGTTTTTTTTTTTCTTTGGTTTTAGTGGGAAACTTGGCCTGCTGGAGGACCTGCTGGACTCTGCTGTAAGGAGCCAGGAGCTCTCCAAGTGCCCATTCACCATGTGTTCACTTATTCCAAAGCAAACCTGCCCCGTGCACCCCAAGTCCCACCCTCCTCCTGCCCCTGCAGACTCCCCCCACCACCCCAGCTGCCTCGGGATGGGCACAGCTCCTGCACCAGCAGCCAGTGCTCAGCAGGGGCCAGCCAGTGATTTTGTGCTACCAGGGGAGAAAAATAAAGCAAAAACAAAGCTCAGCATCAAGCGGGGGTCAGAGACTAATTAAGTTTCCTTTCGAGAGAGACTGCTATGAAATGAAGCCTGTGTGAACAGTGGAGTGGCTGGTAAATCATCATCAGGCGTAATTACCTTGGAAATAGAGCTGGGAGGTAGGTTTTTCCTCTCTCCCTCATTAGTTCAGCACAGCCAAAACAAGAGGGCTGGTTTTTTCTGTCTATTTTCACAAATGAGGGGGAATTAGAGGCTTCATCTTTCTCTGCAACAATCTGTCTTTTTTTTTTTAACACTCAGATATATGTGCAGGAGATTTCATTTTCCC